ATAAAAATAAAAATAAATAAATAAAATTTTTTATTTTTATTTGGGTGTTACAGTCATAGCCTTTCAACGGACAAGACACCGAAAAATCTTCTCTCTTCCCTTTCACTTTCATGCATTTCCCCTCTACTCCTCATTTTTGCCGCTGCTCATTTGCTCTTAGGGTTTCTTATTATTATTATTTTTTTGAACAGGAACTTTTATATGGTAAATGAGATCAAATTGTGGCCGTCTGTTCAAACGGTGTCGTTTTGAAGCAGATAGGTTGTTTTTTAAAAATTACAGAATGACCCCAAATTCTGTATTTTCAATAATTTAGGCTTCTATTTATTTATATAGTAGACTAAACTCCCAAATTTACTTTCAATTTGATCATTTTCCTAATTTTATTATTTATTATTTACTTATTTTTAGATTATATTTTATATTTTTAGGATCCCTCTTTTTTTACTTCTAAAAAGTTTCCTAATGCTTAAATAAACTCTCTACAACATGAATTTACATTCAAATTCTAACTTACGCAAGCTGGGTCATTACACAATGTGTCAGACATTTCATCTATTTGACAATTCGGAAGCATCTCCTTACGAATAGTGAATGTGTGAGAAGGCATATGACCACTGACTCGGGCTATGAGATTTGAAGATATCAATCATGTGCTCAGAGATTGTCATCAAGCGAGACTGCTTTGGATGAAGAGCATACCTCCTGATGAGTCCACTAACTTCTTTTAGTCGAATATGGATGATTGGCTAATAAAAAACCCAAGAAATAGATGTCGTGGTGTCAGAATTTTAGAGACTAGAGGATTAAATCTGGGATCACTTGCTAGTCGCTTTGGAACTAGAGAAATCATCTTGTTTTTGGGGGTAATCCTTGGAGTATCGACGAGATGAAGCATGTTATTTTTCGTATGGTTGATGACATCTTATAGGCTACTCTTGTTGTTGCTATGATCGACGGTCGGTCTTATAAGAAGACGGAGAAATTTGTTGGCTAGCGTGTTCCCCCTAGGACTGGATTAAAATTAATGTTAATGGTGTGTTTCATGCTGGTGTTAACATGACTTGTGCGAGTGACCTGGGTCGTGACGCGAATGGTACATGTTGGGGGGTTTCAGTCAGAATATCGGCACATGTTCTGTTTTACAAGCTAAGCTGTTGGGTGCTTTGGATAGCCTAAATATGGCTTGGAGTTGGGGGGTGCGCAAGGTCATCCTCGAGATGGACAACCTGCTTGTAGTGCAAGTTTTGAACAGAGTTATCCAACAAGAGCCGATTCAGATCAATGTTTGCTCCAACCTCATTCAAACTATTAAACTCTGCTTGGCTAGGAGTTGGACGATTCAGATTCAGCATATTTACCGTGAAGGCAACTGCTGTGATGACTTGCTAGCTAATCACGTTTTTTTAGAATCTACTGGGTTGCACTTCCATCGTCAGCTTTTTTCCGATCTTGTTCCACTCACTAGTGATGACTTTGTCAGTGTGTCTTGTCCTAAAATGTGTAATACTCAAGCTTGTGTTGTTTCTTCTCTCTTTATATATATATATATATATATATATATATATATAAAAGTTGAGTCAATATTTCGAGGTTCTTCTTATAATCACAAACAAATCTTCTCTCAAGATATTTTTTTAATTCAAAAAACACTATGATGCTTAAGTTAGATTATGAAGCATTGAGAGAAAATTTAAAAGAAACAAAATGTTATGAAAGAAAGAATTATCAAATTTGTAGAAAAATGAAGTAATAAATTCCTAATGTTCTTCTTTTGTGAGTCCCAACGGTTAATGAACAACTTAAGACATGAAAATTGACGAAAAGTTAATAACTTTTGGGTAATAAAAAAAACATTTGTCTACCAATGATGTCATTATATATATATATATATATCTAAGTTTGGCAACTTGGATTAATCAAACAAAATGTGCATTTGAATATTCATGTGTTTAGTTATTTTATATTTATAATAATTAATTATTTTTTTATTTATTAAAGAATAAATTATAATAACTTAGAAGACAATTGGAATCCGATTCCAAACAGCCAAGATGACGAAGGAGAACTTCAATGACGACAAAGAAGAATCAAATAATATCTTAACATTAAAATTAAGGAATCAAATTTTGATTATTTATTTTTTATAAACAAAATTATTATTATATATTATTACGTTAAGTTATTTACATATATTCCACTAAGTATTAATATAATTTAAATAAGTAACTATTATATATATATATATATTAACCAAAAAGTATTTTTTTAAAAATAAAAAATTAACACATGATAAATTTCTATTTTACAATATATATATATATATATGATTTTATTAAAATTAGTTAGCTAATTATGTTTTTATTATGTTTATAAAGTATATAATACATATTTGTCAAATGATTTGTCCGTTAGCCATATAGTATGAAGCACTACTTACAAGGATTACCCTGTAGAAATTAATGTTATTTAATACACTAATAATTAATTGACTAATCTATATCAATTATAACATAAATTTTTAATTAAAACACATAAAAAAAAATTAATTTCATATGAAGAGATGAAAATAGCAAACCGTCTAGCCACTAAATAGTCGACATATTTTATTAAATACTGAGTATATTTTTTTATTTTGTTTTTAATTTTTTTTTATAAAAAATTATATAACATAATTTTTATTAATTATATAACATATACGCGTCAAATATAACATTAATTTTTTATTAAATAAAAATATGAAAACTTAGTATATGTAATTTTGATGTAAACTATTAATTTAGTGACATGTGATTTAGAGGAGTCAATAATTTTGTTTGTCCAACCCACAAGTTTCCTGTACAAATAAATACAGATGGAGCTTGCGCATGTTGTGGAAGAAAGTGAGGAAAGAGTGAATTTGAATATTTGAGCATTTTCATTTTCTCTCATGGCGTCTGCACTCACTTTCCCGATCAAGGTAGGCCACATTGACGATGTTCAAGAACTCACCAAGACAAAATCTCCAATCCCCGAAAGATTTCTCCGCAGCGAAGCCGAGAGGTCAACGCTTTCCGCCACTGCATCTCCCCCCATTGAAATCCCCATTGTTGATTTCTCTAAGCTTGCAGCTGCAAACAACCCGGATGAACACTCTACTGAAATTTCTAACTTAGCAATCGCCTGTCAGGAATGGGGATTTTTCCAGGTCAAATATCGTTCTCTCTCTCTGTTTTCCAGTTGGATATATAATATAATATTAATACTGTAGTAAGAAGTTGAAGAGTAATTTTTGCAGGTGATTAATCATGGGATCGACGTGAATTTGCTTGAAGCTGTTGAGAAAGTAGCCAAAGAGTTCTTCATGCTGCCATTAGAGGAGAAAAAGAAGTACCCAATGGCTCCAGGAACAGTTCAGGGATATGGTCAGGCCTTTATTTTCTCAGAAGAACAGAAGCTTGATTGGTGCAACATGTTTGCACTTGGTCTTCATCCTCCATCTCTAATAAACCCAAAGCTCTGGCCAACAAACCCTCCAGATTTCAGGTTCTAAATCTCCACCTTCCTCTACTCTCTTATTACAACTTAATATTCCGAGTGGTAACGTAAAATTTTCTGGTGGGTTTTTGATGAATGTTTTGCAGTGAAACTCTGGAGAATTATTCACGGGAAATTAGGAAACTTTGCCAGAATCTATTGGAGTATATAGCAGAAACTCTTGGATTGAAGAAGAATGTGTTTGAAGAAATGTTTGGGTTGACTGTTCAGGCAGTGAGAATGAACTATTACCCTCCATGTTCAAGACCTGATCTGGTTATGGGTCTCAGCCCTCATTCCGATGGGAGTGCCTTGACAGTTTTGCAGCAAGCGAAGTGTAGCTATGCAGGACTCCAGATTGTAAAAGACAACAATTGGATATCTGTTCAGCCTGTTCCAAATGCACTTGTTATCAACGTTGGAGACACCATTGAAGTAAGAAACTAAATAAATTTGATTATTGTAATTAATTAATACTTACCCTTTTCTTTCTGTCTTCTTCAATATATAATTACTTAGATTAATATTTGTTGATGTGCTTTAAATTCTAGTTTGACTGGTTTAACTTGTTTTAGGTCATATTAAACTGGTTAGGTTTTACTTAAGGTCATATTTAATCGGTTTGTAAAAACTTTAGTATTTTAGATATATTAAGGTTTACAAATTAATTAGTGATTGTACTTTTTTTTATCATTATAGTAAAAAAAAATTTATCATTCTCATCCGCAATTATATATGCATTTCTGTTAAACCACGTAAATCTTATTTATCTTTTCTTCTTTTACTCTTTATTTTAAGTGATTATATGTGTGATTGAGATTAATTTTCATAATAATATCACTGTGTAGGTTCTGACAAATGGAAAGTATAAGAGTATAGAACACAGAGCAGTGACTGATTCGAAAAAAGACCGACTTTCACTCGTAACATTTTACGCACCGAACTATGAAATTGAGATTGGACCCATGACTGAATTTGTTGATGAGAAGAATCCATGCAAGTTCAGAAAATATAATCATGGAGAATACAGCAGGCACTATTTGGCTAACAAGCTACGAGGCAAGAAAAACCTTGACTTTGCCAGAATCTAAAACCAAAAACCATAACTGGGTTAATTCCCATGATTGAATTTTCTGTACAAGTTAAATTTTAGTATATATATATATATATATATGAGTACTGTGTTGAATTTGGGGGTACCAGTTAATTAAAAGTCCTCTTTGACTCTTTGGTGTAGATGATGGAATAAAAGAGTGAGAGTCAAAAAAGGAGGATGATGTCATTGTCTTGAGTGTGGAAGATAGATTTTTCATGAAATCAAGATTGCAATTTATGTATATATTCATATTATTCGAGAGTATATTAAACTAGGACAATAAAAATTTAACTCGTTCTTCTAGCATGGGTTAAGTTATATCTAATATGATATAATGTATATATAGGTTATTTAGAAATCATATATGTATATTTTACTAGAGGGGAGGAAATTTTCCCATGTTAAAGAATGGAGAATCCAATACATTAAAAGATGAAAGACCTTACAACACATATACGTATATATTAATGTGTATATATATGTAGATACAACTTGGAGGGGACCCAAAAAGATGCTTTTTCAATGTTCAAGACTTTGTTTGCATTACTAAAAAAAAAAAAGGTTTTATTTGACAAAAAAAAAAGAAAAAAGAAATTTGCATCAATATGCATGTATATCTAAAAACATATTTTTTTTTTTCATATACTTCATTATATTGAAATTAGTCTTTAATATTAGATACTTATAATTTCTATATATCTCTCGATCTATATATATATATATATATATATATATGTATGTTGTTATGTATTAATGTAACGACCCCGAAAATATTAAAATGAAATGAGTATTTAATTATATCAAATGCGGAAGCGAAATCAAAATTTCAGTTAACATCCCTTACACGAAAACCAAAAACGTACTTAAAATATAAAAGATTAAACTAACTAAAAGAGAAACTCGAAAATAAAACTATGATTATGACTACAGAGTCTCTAGGCATCCCTTTCGTCGTCCTCCTGCGGAACGGGCTCGGGAACCATGTCTTTCTGATATGAAATGGTTAAATAAGGAGTGAGCTACACTAGCCCAGTAAGAACATCACGATATCTCACCGTCACGGAGGTAAAGGTGGGTAGAAAACACAAAGGACCCATGGAGCATGTTTTACAACAAATCTTTTTATTTATGATAAAACCTTTACCATCCACTTACCTCGGTGGAATTTATGAAACAATATAAGAAAAACAATAACACTATCATAATCATGGAATAATATAAGCTGTAAAACATAACACTTATCACGCCTCTTGTAATTCAATCATTATACAACATATCTTTTTCTCATTTACCAGCCTACTAGTATCCGTGGGGGTCCATAGGGGTCCCGCTACCCGTTAACCTTTAACATTCATAATCAGTTTCCAGGGCCGTCCCCATACCCCGTCCAGTATGGGCGCCAAAACCATAAACCTCAATACCCCGTCCGGTATGAGGGTGAAAACGGGCCGTCCCCATACCCCGTCCGGTATGGGCGCCAAAACCATAAGATCTCCATACCCCGTCCGGCATGTGAGACCACAATCCCGGTAGGGTTCCCTACGGACCCGGTCCGTCCACCATCTCCCAGGATATCTAGTCAGGCTGACCCCATAATACAATTATCAGTCTACATAATCTTTTATTTTTCTTTTCCTCAGTCAGCATCATCAATTCACATTTAAACAAGCAAATCGTAATTCATGCCAAACAGACAACATACAGTATCAGTTTTTCAGTCATTCAACCCATAATTAATAAAAACGTAGTATATGCACACAAATCTGTAAAATGAACACATCAAACCTCATTTTGCATTTAAAGCTGTAAACAGGCCAAATAACAGTAAATCACCAATCACACTAGACTCGGGCTCCATTAGCCACCTTAAGCAATTTCACACATTCGTTAATTCAAGAAATACTGTTTTATCATTTTGAACTTTAATACCGTGATAGGAAATAAGGTGAGGGGTCCTTACTTGTTTTTGGTATTCGAATACGATTCACAGTGCGCCTACAGGCTGTTCCTAATTTTTCCTGAATTTTTCCCGGGGAACTGAAACGCACTAACGGTACCTGCACGTGTTCCAAAAAATCTCAAATTATGCTCAAGGCCTCTTTTTGGCCAATATCGCAACTCCAGCACGGCGGCTCCGCCGTGCACAGGCGACGGCGCCGCCGCTTGCGGCGGCGATTCGCCTCGGGTTGGCTGTTTTCGGCCGAATTCGGCCACACTCGCATCAGTCCCTGCAAGAAAATAACCCTAGGGCCCTCGGGGGGCCAAAAAATCACGGAAAAACGGAGCTTACCGGCGGCGGCGCTCTCGGGTGCGGTGGCTCTCCGGCGAGGTTCGTGTTTTGGTGATTCGGCTCCAGTCAACCTGTAGAGAAAAGAATGGTGATCACGGTGATATAAAAATTGCATCAAACGGAGGCCAGGAAGGGCCTCGTCGGAGGCAAAAACCGAGAAGGGGCGCGGCGGCGCCGCTGGTCTTCGGCCGCGTATTCCGGCCGTTTGGCCAGGATTTTGGCTCCGATTTGCCCACAGGAGAAATCAGCATGGAAAAACGAGTCGGGGGTATGAAATTTACCTCGATCGGCGGTCGGAAATTTCCCCGGCGCGGCGGCGGGTGGCGGCGGCCGGCTTTTGGTTCGTCTTCTCCGGCGAGCGGCAGGCGGCTAGGGTTTGTGGTCTGGTGTGGGGGTTCTATTTATAACCCCTTGCCTTTTGATCTCAGCCGTCCATTTTGTTTTAATCTGGGCCGTCCGTTTTTAATTGAATCTGGGCCGTCCGTGCGTTTAAATCTGGGCCGTTCGATCGCACGTTTGATCTGGGCCGTCCGATCGCGCCCACGCGGATCGCCAACGTGGCCCTTTTTGGAATGACGTGGTTTTGCCACGTGGCAGGTCCCGGTTGGCCGGGCCTGCTGACCGGGCCTGCTGACGTGGCTTTTTTTTTTTCTCGGTCCGGGCGCTACAACTCTCCCCCCCATAAAGAAATTTGGTCCCCAAATTTGCCTCATTACTCTTGATCAAACAGATGGGGATATTGGGCCCTAAATTCTGATTCCAGTTCCCAAGTCGCCTCCCTGGGCGTGTGGTTCTGCCACATGACTGTTACAAATGATATTTCCCGGTTGCGGAGTATTCTGCTTTCTCGGTCCGTGATACTGACCGGTACTTCTTCATAAGACAAGTCCTCTCGGAGTGGAAGCGGTTCGTGAGCCAAGACATGAGAAGGGTCCGGATTGTACTTACGTAGCATAGATCCATGAAACACATTATGAACCCGGGAGAGTTCATGAGGCAGTGCAAGTCTGTAGGCAGTGGTACCAATCTTGTCTAAGATTTCAAAGGGTCCAATATATCTGGGGTTTAATTTTCCCCTCCTGCCGAACCTACTAATTCCCTTGAAGGGGGTGACTTTAAGAAACACCCGGTCGCCTTTCTCAAAGGCCATGTCTCTTCTCCGGGTATCGGCATAACTCTTCTGCCTACTCTGAGCTGTCTGGATGTTCTTCCTGATCTTAACTATCTTGGACGTGGTTTCTTCTACCAAATCCGGGCCAAAAAATCTTCTATCGCCCACTTCCTCCCAACAGATCGGCGACCTGCACGGACGCCCGTATAGCGCCTCGTATGGGGCCATGCCGATGCTTGCTTGGTAACTGTTGTTGTAAGCAAACTCTATCAGGGGTAGGTGGTCGTCCCAATGGCCCCCGGAGACAAGGACACAAGCTCGGAGCATATCCTCCAGCGTACGAATTGTCCTCTCTGATTGTCCATCGATTTGTGGGTGGAAAGCAGTACTAAGAGACAGCTTTGTTCCCATAGCTTGCTGGAAACTATTCCAAAACCGAGAAGTGAATCTGGGATCCCTGTCGGATACCACTGTTACTGGAACTCCATGTAGTCTGACTACCTCCCGGATATACATTCTTGCCAACTTGTCCAAGGGATCAGTCATTCTGATGGCCAGGAAGTGGGAAGACTTAGTGAGTCGGTCAACAATTACCCATATAGTATCATGTCCCGATCGTGCCTTGGGTAGTCCCGATACGAAGTCCATGGTGATATGTTCTCACTTCCACTCTGGAATCGGTAAAGGCTGAAGTAACCCGCCCGGACGTTGATGTTCTGCTTTGACCTGCTGACATACCAAGCACTTAGATACAAAGTCGGCTATATCTCTCTTCATCCCATTCCACCAGAACCGAGGTCGCATAGTTTGGTACATTTTCGTACTTCCTGGATGCATGGCGAACCTTGAACTATGGGACTTTGTCATGATGTCTCTTCTTAACTCACTGTCGTCTGGGACACACACTCTGTCCCTGAAACGAATCAATCCGTCGGCGGAGATCTGAAATTCTGAGCTCACTCCCTGTTCTGCAATCTTCTTGCGGGTTACTAGGGTGGGGTCGACTGACTGAGCTTCCTTTATTCTTTGGATTAACTCGGGTTGGACTGCTAGGTGGCCCAAACATGTGACTCTCTTCAGGTCTCGCAGGCGAACCTGCTGTGTAGCCCCAATGGACCTACATTCTGAAACCATCAGATGGGCTAGGGTGCTTGCACTTTTCCTGCTGAGGGCATTGGCCACTACGTTGCCCTTACCTGGATGGTATAGGATGTCACAATCATAGTCCTTGAGGAGTTCCATCCACCTCCTCTGACGCATGTTGAGATCCTTCTGGGTGAAGATATGCTTCAAACTCTTATGATCGGTGTAGATCTGAAAGGTCTCTCCATACAAATAATGGCGCCAGGTTTTCAAGGCGTGTATGATGGCGGCAAGCTCCAAGTCATGGGTATGATAGTTCTTCTCATGATTCTTTAGCTGCCTAGACCCATATGCTATAACCTTTCCACGCTGCATTAGGACACAACCCAGGCCCAGATAGGAGGCATCACTATAAACTGTGTACCCTCCTGATCCACTCGGTAGAGCCAGCGCTACAATTAAGCTCGGGTAAATCTGTGCTCTACTTTGTCATCACTCGGACCCATATTTCAGCTTGGAAATCATCAGAAAGCTCTTCTTAATTTTGCACTCACACCAAATTTCAGCTAATTTGGACCATCAAAAAGCCATTGCAAATTGCTTGACTAGTGCTTCTTTCTCCACCAATAATATATTTATGTACTAAAACGTGCATACATAATCGTGGGTCTCTCTCTCTCTCTCTCTCTCTCTCTCTCTCTCTCTTCTCTAAGCTCCACTAGCGAGAAAGAAAGAAAGAAAGAAAGAAAGAAAAAGCTTTTCATTTTCTTGAACAGGAATGAATACTGAAGATTCCTTTTGCCAACTTTTCTGTTTGTTTCTTTGGGAAAATATTGGAGATGATGATTGTGTCAGTTTTCCCAACATTTATCCTGCCTTTTTCCTAACAAGGAATCTGATCAGAAACCCCTCAAGAAAAAAGCAACAGGAACATTTTACAATTTCCTTGTGTTTGATTCTTGATTTCTCTCTTTCGCTAATTGAACCCCACAAAGCTTCCATTAATATTAACCAATAAGCTTATAGTTATATGCTCCTTACACATGAGTTTGTATACAGATACATAAATATATTAAACATTCTCATGGCATCATCATTCTTATGTTTCTGTCTTGAATTCTATAACCTACACAACGCACAGTTCTTAGTTAACTTGTATGTATAGAAAATCTAAAATTAGTGGAACCCTCCTGAGGTAGAGTTACTGTTGGGTCTAAATCTTGGCAAAGTCTAGAGCTTTCTTGCCTTGCAACTTGTTTGACACATAATGCTTGCTATACTCTCCATGGTTGTATCTTCTGTATTTGCATGAATCATTCTCATCAACCAATTCAGCCAATGGTCCAATCTCGACTTCATAGCTCGGTGCATAGAATGTTACGAGTGTGAGTCGGTCTTTTTCCGACTCAGTCACTGCTCTGTGCTCCACACTCTTGTACTTTCCATTTGTCAGTACCTACACAATAATATTAATCTAAAGTGATTAGATATTTAATTAGACAAAATGAAAAGGGTAAATGTTAATTAATTAGAAAATTCATATTTATTTAATTTCTTACTTCAATGGTGTCTCCAATGTTGATGACAAGTGCATTTGGAACAGGCTGAACAGATACCCAGTTGTTGTCTTTTAGGATCTGGAGTCCTGCATAGCTACCCTTTGCTTGCTGCAAAACTGTTAGGGCACTTCCATCAGAATGAGGACTCAGACCCATAACAAGATCAGGTCTTGGACATGGAGGGTAATAATTCATTCTCACTGCCTGCACAGCCAACCCAAACATTTCCTCAAACACATTCTTCTTCAACCCAAGAGTTTCTGCTATATACTCCAATAGGTTCTGGCAAAGTTTTCTAATTTCCTGTGAATAATTCTCCAGAGTTTCACTGCAAAACATTCATAAAAAACCCACAAGAAAATTTTATGTTACCAGTCAGAATATTAAGTTGTAATGAGAGAGTAGGGGAAGGTGGAAATTTAGAACCTGAAATCTGGAGGATTTGTTGGCCAGAGCTTTAGGTTTCTTATAGCTGGAGGATGAAGACCAAGGGCAAACATGTTGCACCAGTCAAGCTTTTGGTCCTCTGAGAAAACAAAGGCCTGACCATATCCCTGAACTGTCCCTGGCGCCATTGGGTACTTCTTTTTCTCCTCTAATGGCAGCATGAAGAACTCTTTAGCAACTTTCTCAATAGCTTCAAGCATATTCAGGTCAATCCCATGATTAATCACCTGCAAAAAATATTCTTCAACTTCTTATTACAGTATTAATATTATATATCCAATTGAAAACAGAGAGAAAGAATGATATTTAACCTGGAAAAATCCCCATTCCTGACAGGCGATTGCTAAGTGAGAAATTTCAGTGGAGTGTTCATCTGGGTTTTGTTGATTAAGCTTGGAGAAATCAATAATGGGAATGTCAAGAGGATGTTTTGTGGGTTGTTCAAGTGTTGACCTCTCGGCTATACCACGAACAAATCTACGAGGGATTGTGGCTGGTTTTGACTTTCTGAGTTCTTGAACATCGTATATATGACCTACTTTGATGGGTGAAAGAGGTACTGGCGCCATTGAAGAGGGATTTGGAGGAGACGAATGGACAGAAAACCAGAGAAAGCTTTCCTCTGTTTCTTGAACAAGAATAAGCTCTGTACTTATTTATACAAGAAAGTTGAGAGCAGCCTAACTGTACTTTTTCTAAAGAAATAAATTGTTTATTATTAGTTGTTTGGGTGCAAATCGTGATAATGGTTTGAAGGGTGGGGGGCCGCCATAGCCATGCACTTTATTAAAATTTGAGTAACACATAAAACCAATCTCTTTAGCTTACTTTTTTTAAGTGAAAGTTGATATAACAAAGCTTCCTTTTAAAAAAGATATATTGTCTAGTTTGAATTCATATCTTTATAAAGAATGGTAAAAATATTAATTATTCAGTTAAAAATAACTAATATATTTGAACTAATTTAATATATTAATATATATATATATATATATATATATTTTTAAGAATAAATCTTATGAAACATACTTCTTTTATTTTAATAGATGATAACGTGTCTTGTCTATCAAAATATTTCTTTATATTTATAATCTTTTTTTCTTTTTACCATTCTAAAATAAAGAAACAAAAATAAGTTCATATAACAAAATTTTCTTTCAATAAAAACATACCAGATCCATAATCTGAGCCGAATCCATACTCTCCTAAAGAAATATAGAAATATCAACAATTCAATTAAAAAATAATTCATAAACTTGAATTAGTATAATATGTTAAAAAATATATAGTTGTAAGAGTGGACCTTATCAAACATACTTCTTCTATTCTGGTGAATGATGAGGTGTCTCTTCTATAAAAAATAGTTGTATTTGTAATCTTTTTTTACCTTTCTAGAGTAAATAAAAACGTAAGTCTCAATTTAAGTCATTCGCTCTCAACTAAACAAAGAGGAACATATATAATTCCTATCTGAACTCAAATATTATCAATTCATTAAATGTCACTCAAAATATTGTTCGTGATATTAATGAGTATTTGTAATTGTTATAACTTGTGCTATAAGTTCAAAATAACTATTTATTAAAAGCATTTTTACTCAAAAGTTAATTAGTGTTTAGTAAAAATAACGGTAGAAATATTATTATTTAAAAAAAAAAATTGTATTTGGTGAAATAACTTTTGAAATTTCATATATAAATTTTTATTAAAAATTAAAATTATTTTCTAAAAACTACAAATTATAGTGTTTATATTCAAACATATCATGCGAATCTTGACTTTAGTTTTTATTAAAAATACTTTACATTTTACTTATTTGATTACACAAATATTTCTGGAATATAAAAGTTGAAG